GCGTTGTTAAATTTGAAGGAAATTTCTATTGCTAAAAGAGGCGTGCAACATAATATTTTCTAATTCTTGTCATTAGCTAGATGGTTGTATATTTTTTAATACGTCGACTTATTAGAACAGCAACAAAACCACTAATCTGAATTTAATTTTTATAATAACAATTTGTATGTTCTGGTGTAAGTTACCGAAAAACTGGGTCTTAGGGAGATTTCCTTAAAATTCTGATAATACGGGACTTTACCATAGGTAAATAGTAATTCCTTTACTGTGTGAGTATCTTTCGGAACTATCGGTAATTCTTTAATGAGAACCTAGCCACCATTTGGTGCCTCACTTCACTAAACATTATTCTAGCTAACAAAGCAGTTCTGTGACTTGTAAATAGCATATTCCTATAGAAAATTTTTTTAATAACAGCGTTTTATAATGTATAAATATATTAGTTTATAAAAAAATGCTTAAAATTATTTATGCCTACTTTTTTGTTAATAGGTTTTAACTTGACCTTCCAAACTCTTGACTCGGCGCGCGATATCCCTCGGCCCTCTGCTTTCCCCGATGCTCGGTGCTCCATCCAGGTATGATCCTTGGTTTATTCTATTACTTAAATCCAGGGAGGCCGAAAGAAAAGAAATTATTATAAGTGGATACCTATCAAAGTCTCCACCACCGATTAGAACTCATAAACATATTAGACACGCTTTTGATTACGTAAGGCAATTTATTTTGAGTTTTTAGTTAAACTGCACTCGTTCTTCTAAGGTTCTGGACAAGGCGGTATGCGTTTATAATTTCTATCTTTGTTTTAGCTTCGAAATATTTGATTAAAAAAATCGGATAATCATATGCTATTAAGTTATTTAATGTTTCGCCTACAAATCTATTTATCTTTAGCAAATTTATACATACAGACATATATATATATATATCGTCGTTTGATCATGTCTTGCTTTTGTGTCTCAAGTGCCCTGTTTTACTTGACACAAATATACATATTAACGCAATTATATTTTTAACTCTCTTTAATGGGCTATCTTATTTAGCGCATAATTTTTGCTTAGCCCTGTCAATAATTTCATTTTGCTTCTATTTAACTTTTGTAATGCTAACTCGGTTGTATCGGCTCTTGTTCTTCAGCGTTGGCACAAGCGATTCTGCATTCTATATAATATCACTCGCGAAAATGTAACGCAGGTCTTTTTTGAATATTTCAAGGATTCCTCTTGTAGCAAGCTCAGAGGTTAGTTTACCTTAGTTCATACTATTTATTTGTGAATTATATTTGATCCCTTTTTTTTGAAGGACGCGTGGATCTTGAACATTGCGACAGAATTATCAACAATGCAAACTGCTGTATGCCAAATACCTTCTCTTTACGAACTATGTTCGAAGGGAGCCAGCGTGATTATTACTTTGCCGCTGAAAGTCAGGAGGTTATGATGCAGTGGGTCAAAGCACTTGTAACACTAATAGGGATGGTTGACACTACGGGTAAATTTGTGTTTCCAATGCCTAAATATTCTTATTTTCAAGCATTTTCATTAACTTCGGCAACCTTATGCCATTCCTTCTGGATAAATATGATATAAGAATTATTGATGCCCTTTAACTCTCTCTAGGAAAATTTAGGATAATGGTGTAAAATACTTAGGAACTTGACCTTTCTTTGCTGACTTCCACCATCCAATCTATTTATTCGTTTATCATGCGAAATATTTTAACTATTTCACTTTTTAAATTTTAATTGGACTATTTAGCATAGTATTATAACATATTACTAGCTCAAGTCTATTTTTAACTAAACTTTTGATATTATCATTTAATAAAAATCTTCTTTAGTTTAATCTTTGAAGTAGTTTAGAGTTAAATTATCTGATGTTGATATTATTTTAGGTCGATCCGTATAAAAGATCACGGTGGATTCTTCTGTGTCAGTCTTAATTAAATTGATCCCTTTGGTTCCTGTGAAAGCCTTCATCTGTCATATGGCAATAGGCCTGTATAAGCATGCATACGAACAGATCCGAAATAGCAGAGCATCCTTGCACGGACGGGACACTAAATTGACAGAAAGGCTGGCTACATATGATGGAAATACAAGAAAGCGCAATATACGAGAAGCTTTTGATATCCTAGCCGAAATAATTCTAATAAACATGGACTTGAACAAGACAGGATTGGCCAAAACTTTGCATATTTCCTAATCAAACTTGGAGGATAACAGGGAACAGCAAGATCAACAAAAGAAGATGACTATCTCAAATTACTATTTTCAATTTGATGTAAAGAAATCTCATTATGGATAGAGGAGAGCGAGAAGCGTCGGAGACCATCGATATTTGGGTATTAGTAAATAAGTCTGATCAAATGCATGTTCTATGAAGTGAGGGCTTCATCGCGGGATTTACTCGGTGCAAATGCGGCTCAGTGATAAGGGAATCTTAAGCGTCAAGTACTGTCCATACTACTTGAAAATCCAGACTTCGGGGGCTTTCTCAGTGAGGCTGATGTATACATGCTATCAAAGGCTTGAGTCAGAGTGTAGAACAACGCCTCGAGTAGTTAGGATATATTGGTAGCGATCGAGTGAAATCACTGAACCATGCAGATAAGAGATGGATCCTGCGGAGCAAGAGGGAGACAATTTAAACCTGGAGTAAAAGATGTGCGGAATAAACTGTAGCCTTAGCTCAACACTCCCAGCACGGTGGAGAGAATGTGGAAACCAGCACGGAGTGTGAATATATCTTAGTAAATCGGCTCGAAAGGGGGCATCTCAACTTGGTTTATATAAGCAAGTAAGAAATTATGATGTCAAAGGGGCGATTCGTGGATATATGATTAGTGAATAACCCAGAAGAGAAGGAGATATAACAACATTAGAGTAGATAAGAAGTGTAACTTGGTTTCGATGAATCTTCTGAGAAAACATTGTTAGGGGGACCTTGATTTCGTATGAAAGTGCATGAAGAAGAGATTCGTTGGTAGATCTCACCAGATGAGGACAGATGAAACTCGTTTTACTGCAGCCGGTTTTAATTTTATACGACATTCATGTGGACGCAGTCTTTGGGACTTCTTCCCTCGTTTCGGGTGAAAACGTGGCTTTCGTCCATCAAATGATGGACATCATTAGAGCTGGGTATCATTCTTGTAAAAAGCTTTCGTTGACACTAGGCCAAGAAACTGGACATTAAATAGA